TTTATTATGAATTTTCAAAGAAATTAAAATAAAGTGTGAGAAAATAAGAGAAAATGGAAAATATGTGTGTCAAATAGCAATTGAAAATAGTTCAGATTACCAGTTGGGCCCAGAGGGGGGGTGTTAATAGGAAAGCGCCTAAGCCCAATTATCCCTCAGAAAATAAAACGAAAATAGAAAGAAAAAAGAGAAATTCATGGTGCAGGAAGTAATGACATTTAGTGTATTTTCTATTGGGCTCTGAACAAGGGGTGTGGATAACAGTTATCACTTAAGCCCAATGCCACATTTTAAATGAAACACAGCGTTCCATCTCTCAGACTCATCCTTCACAAAAATAGAACACGCGTGGCCATTGGATCTTAATTCTAGTCAAAGTCTCCCTCTAATCTAAGGGTGCCCAACTCATCTTCAACCTTTGAAACAAAAATTGGAGGGAAACAAGCCATGGATGCAGAGCTTGAACTTCATCTTCCTCCCAATCGTATCTCATTAAATCTCCATCAAATGCAAAAATTTAAAACCCTAACATGCTCCAAATTTCACCAGGAATTCATCTATGGTAACCAAACACCTTGAAACTAATCCTAGCTCCAAACATGATTCAAACTTCAGAAATTGGTCCATGATCAAAACTCACCAATCTTGAAATTGAGTGGCTCAATCTCTTCCCCACTTCACACTGATCATTTCTAACCATTAATCCAAGGTTATATCATCAAGAACAACAAGATACTTGCCTGAACAGAAATGGTGCCTCTCAACTAATTGCATCTAAATCAACCCTAAAGCTACCAGAAAGCTCCACATGATCATCTACATTGGATCTAACTATTCAAAACTGATTGAAACTACCTAAATCAAGCTGTGGATTGGAGTTTACATACCTGCAAATTTGAGATGAACAGAGGTATGAAATCTTCAAATCAGGCTTTGAGAACTTCAATACACCTTCAATGAGTCACTATCTTGCTTCTGTATGCAAAAGAAATGGTTGAAATAGCTTGGATTATGGAAATCGATCTTGAGTTGCAGATGAGAATTTTCAATGGCAAGAACACGATTCCTCCACCAATTTGCTTGGAACTTGATCTGGAAACACTCACTAGCACAAATGGAAGCAAATGGGATCAAGAAATTGGATGGAAAGGGATGAAATGTTTGTAACCGAATCTGAGTTGCAACAGAAAAATCTCAATCTCAATCTCTCTTCTCTCCTTCAATTCTCACCAAATCTTGCTTGGGATCACTTCATATGCATATATAGAGTGTGAATGAAGACTCTAGAAAGTTCTAGGTTGATCCAATGAAAAATTCACCATCTCATGTCATGAGATCTCATGTCATGCTATGCACTCACACCAGCTCATGTTTTGCCTTGAAATTGCACTTGTTCTGAGTTGAGAATCTCTCCAAATGAGATATTGGAGGTGTATGGATGGAAAGGAGCCTTACATTTGCTTGGAAATGTGGTTTTGCAATGGTGCCTTATGATTCAAGTAAGCCATTTACAAAGCAAGTCCTAAAAATAATCCTCAATTCAAAATTGTGGAAATGTCAATGTTCTCAAAATGATTTTTACAATCAAATTGGTATGTCATATGCCTTGGTTTGGTTGTGTAGATCAAAAAACCCTAATTTCTAACTTTGGTTCATTTAAAATATACCTTCATTTTAGGCCATTTTTATGATTTTGTGAAGCAAGCCATTCCAAGTTCTCATGACCTCTTATCTAGCCTAAAAACATCATTTTGAACACATATCATGTTGAACATTTTTCCATTTGAAGAGTGGAAGATGGAGATTTGGACCTATGTTGAAAAATGACCTGTAATTCAACTTTCCCAAAATACCCCTGGGTTGCCAAGACCATAACTTGAGTTCCACAAATCCTCTTGAGGACTTCTAGTACTCAAATTAAAGCTAAGATAAATATCTACAACTCTTATGTTGGCCAAGAATCCATTTGAAAACTCCTTGATGGGAAAAAGTTGCTTGGAAGTCAAGTGACTTTCACAGATAAATTTCAGTGTCCTCTGAGGACCCATAACTTGCAAGAACCATAACTTGAGTTCTATAAATCTCCTTGAATACTTCTAGTACTAAAATTAAAGCTATTGAGAAGCTCTACAAGTTTCATGTTGACCAAGAATTCATTTGAAACTTGTATTTTGACTTATCTGGCTTGGAAGTTAGGCCTAAATTAGGGTTTTTTACACTGAAACCCTAATTTAGTAACTCCTCTTCTTCTTGGTTTCTCTTGATTTATCCTTGGCACAACACCACACATGTATCCACATATCAATTCATGAACCCCAAATTCTTCAATTAAGCCTTGATGTTCTTCAATCACTCAGTTGACCTAGGGTTGACCCAGATGAAACCCTAGTTGATTGTACTTCAACTCTGGCTCTTGTACTTGAATCAATGACTTGTCTCATCTTCAAAATGACCCTCTAGGTCTTCCATGATCTTTTTACACCTTCCATGGCTCACACTCATTAATGATCTTCAACATATCCCCAAGATTGGGAGAGAAATCCACTGGTTGACCTTCAAACTTTTCAAAGCTTCAACTCATTTCTTGATTACTTGGATGGTCTTGAACTTGAATAAAACCCCTTGATGGGCCTCTCTCTCTGATAAGAATGGCACTTGATCCCTTGTTAGATGCCTTGTTATGCTATGTTATGCAAATGATTAGACTATGTACATGACTTAGTATGCAAATGATAATGCAATTGAAACATAAACCAAGTGAAATAGGTTGAGCAAATTTTAGGGTGCAACAATACTCACCGTAATTCTCTTTGGAATTACCACCACGGCCCAAGACCGTTCACACGATGACAATCTTGTCACACAAGCATCAAACATAACTCATAAAGAAAGTCACATAAAGTTCCATGTTTTATCATGTTTACTATCGTTACCGGTTCCCCTATGTCCAATTATATCATTTTAGTCTTACGAACCAAGAGAAATTACACCGTATGCAAAGTCATGGAAGAAATCGCGAAAACAGGGAAATTTCCAACATAGGCCTGCCCATACGCGTATGGCCCTGTTCTCCTCGCCATGACCTGTGTACCATACGCGTAGGGCTCAAATGCCCAAACCTCCATACCCGTAATTCCAAGGCCTTACGCGTATGACCAGAGTGGATTTCCTTCCAAAACCTCCCCAAAAGCTTCTCATACGTGTAATGGCATTGCCATGCGCGTATGGCCACTCCCTCTTACGCGTAGCTTACGCGTACGTCCAGAAGGTCGTACTGGAATGGGGGTGGGGTGCGTACCATACGCATTTTTCGTATCAACGCGATTCTTCCCCCATTTGAGCATTTTCAAGTTCCTAAATTCGACCCAAAACAACATTTGTATCAGTATGAACCCAAAGTCCTGATTCTACTTCATTAATTCATCATTCTATCAATGTTTTCTACCATCAGGATCCATTTTCGTTAACCCCCGAAAATCCCAAAATTTCAGATATGTTTCCATATCAGAACCCAGCAACAACAGTACAAAATTTACATGAATTTCATATCCGAAATCAGCATGCAATACAGATTCATATCATAACAGCACAAATACGAATTTACAACAATCACCACACAAGCATACAAACAATCAAGAAGAAGAAGGAATAACATAAAATCCTAAGAGGGAAATGAACCCTCACTACCCTCTCATATTCAGACCATCATTAAAGAATCTCATTCTCCTTCCTTACCTTAATTCCAAGCTTTCTTTCTCTAACAATGGTGGAGAGTGTTCGTCTCTACTTGTCGTATCTCTGCTTCCTTCTCTCTTTCCATTTTCGTGTAATTGGCAGTTTCTGATCCTTTTTCCACTTCCCTCTAATTATGTTGTAATTTCTTAATTTTAGTAATAATAATAATGGTCATGAAAGAGAAAAAAGGAAATACATTTACGGTGTAAAATATTTTACATTGTCAACCAATCACAACCATTTATCAGAATAAAACATATTTTTATTTTAAAAATACTGATATTTCATAGCAATTGCAGACATTTTGATTGGTTGCATGTGTAAAACTGTTTTACACTGACAGTGTACTACCTTTAAACTCTTCTAGAAATATGAATATTCACGAGTTTAACTACTTGTATTTGCAATGTATCGGAGATGTGTCGCAAGCCTATTGTGATGTATCACCGCCGTATGAAGACGTATCATCGTCGTATCGGAACGTATCGCCGCAATATCTAAATTTTTTATTTTTATTTGTTAATAAAAAAATTCAGATACTTCTTTGATACATATGAGCAACATATCGACATATTAAATACGATACAACATAGATTTTTAGAGTATCCGTACTTCTTCCTAGATGCCACTTATTTTGACTTGTTAAAATATTTGACTAAGAACATATTTTGAATCATGTTGAATGCAAAATATCTAGTGACTTTGTCAGTAATTCATTTTTGTTCAACTAATCTGACTAGCCACATTTAGGTCTTCTTTTCCAATTAATTTTTTTTTGAAAAGTTTAAAACTATGATGTCAATTTGAATAGACAAAATTTCATGAAACAAAATACAAATATCTTTATGGGACAAAAAGATGCCTGCAGCCTGCATGTGCGTGTTCTAAACAAACAAAAGTGAAGAAAATACACATGCATGTGCGTGTACTTCTAAACAAACAAAAGTGAAGAAAATACACATTAAGTTTATTATATAAAGGTAAGAATCTAAGGACTCAATAGTTTAAAGTTACACTTCTCTCGTCATTAACGGTAACGTGATATATCACGGCTCAATCTCTACATTTTTACCATCATCGATGAGACATTAGCTCTGTAACAAGTTACTATTACTACAACAAGTAGCAATTCATACAAGGAAGAAAAGTGCACTAAATTATAGTTGCTTCTATAGTTTTTAAAACACTCCGTTTTGTATATCTTGACAAATGACATGTCAATTTCCAAGTATAGTTTTGCCAATGAAAAAGGAAGAATGATATTGTCAGGATTCGCGGGGTCCATCAAATGATTGTGTCTTTCTCAAATTCCAATGAAGACCCTCATGAATACTGCGCAAGAAGTCGTTCGTAGAATCGACCAGACAAGCTGTAGGAACAGGCCAGGGTGCCATGCTGCACACCAATGCATCTCCTGGTGCTAACTGCTTCCTGTCTTTGCCATCAAACGATGCCCATGCAGGGCTTCTGCTATTGAATGGTACTTGCACCCTTAAAGTCACATGCTCTGGTAATATCAATGGCCTAAAAGATAGGGAATGTGGGCAAATTGGTGTAAACAAAATACCTGGAACCTGCATATTTGAAGACTAAGTTTCAGCACAAGACGAATATTGATAGAACATGGAATAAACTGAATTTTGCCACCAACACTATACGGTTAAAGTGAATGTTCTTCATAAAAATAAATTTATGCGGCACTTGAAAAAATATGCAACCATCATTGAGATAGGATCTATTGCCTCAGCTCAGGGCCTGGGGGCCAGTGGTGTGCGCGGCCTCTTATGCCAGGCTCACCATTCAGACTCATGGCCCACCAGCGACAGAAAAGCTAGAGGCTACAGATATCAATCTGCAACTTCCATGTGCATTTGGCAATAGCAACAGATAGATATAGCCAAAAGGTTTTCTCAACTGGACATAAGGCACCAAGGCCTAACAGGATGCATTTGAAATTGCTCTACCATATCAAAAGCAACGGAAAATTTCAACAACAACAATACAAATGTCTTGACTCCTACAACTCTATATAAAGGGGGAGCCTCCACCCATGTGAAATACACATCTATTTTTCTATTCTCTCACTTATACTCTTGCAAGCTGAAACACTTGTGTGCCTTTTGCAAGCACTTCCCCTTCACTGGAAAACTTGGGTAATGAACACAGAATGGCCTATTGTTCTTGAAGAACTCTTTAATTGAAAGATTGACCAATATTTCCGTTATAAAATCCTACGTGAGTAAAAAAGTATACGACCAAAGGTATCATTCAGTAAGAGGTCAAAAAGAATGAGAAACATAATATGTAAACAGCAAAATAAAGGGCTCCAGGAAAAACTTGAATTACAAAAGTAGTTCAATAACATTGTAGTAAAACTTACTGACTGAGACGTTCATTGTCAACTACAAGAGGAAAAAACAGTTAAATTTTGGGATAAACGCATCAGAATAAAAAGCTCTTCAAGAAAATACCTGAGGATGGACCATTGATCCTCCAGCTGCCAAAGAATATGCAGTACTACCAGATGTTGTAGATAAGATTAATCCATCCCCTTGCACACATGTGACAAAGGAGTTGTCACAGTAACATTCCAAATTTGTGAGGTAAGATGATATACCACGATCAATAGTAACCTCGTTCAGAACAAGTATAGGTTCTTCAGTTTCAAATTCATCTTTAGCTGCATCTCGTACAACATGACATAGCAAACGGTGTCGTAATGTAATACTAATGGGGCCCTTCAAAATTGATTCAAGGCACTCTTTGTAATTTTCACTATCTGAAGGAAGGTTAAGTTCAGATTCCAATTAGAAATGAAAACAGATATTAATAAAAGTAGATAATATACATTTAGGCAAAGTCCAAGGATACAGAAAGGAGTCATAAATCCAAGAGACCCTAAAGAAAAGGGGACAATAGGAGGCACTGGCCCTTTGAACATAGATGCTGTCTGCACATTTGGAACACGATAAATTAATCTTCAATATCAGAAAGCAATGTAATATGCAACACATATTAGGATAACAGGATAACTAATGTAAAACAAACTATTGTAGTAGACTTAGTAACCAAACTCTTTAGCAATGAATACTCCATGTCCAGATATTTATTTGACAAGAGACGGTGGCGCATCCTTAGTCCAACAATCATCATATTCATGGCTCATCCTTAGTCAAAAGTTCAATTTGATACATTATGTATATGCATGATTCGAACTTCCTTCAACATAGTATATACTGTTACCAGTGAAACAGGTCAACGGTTCAAAAGTTCTTAACCTTCATCAGTGTATGGATAAATAACAGAAATCCTAAAGAGTTACTTGTGGTGCACTTGTGTGCATTCACTCTAAAATTTACGCAAATGCTTCTAGGGCTTCTAATCATTTTTATAAAATCAACAAGTTTCACCTATAAAGTTAGACTATTGTTGTTCAATGGCAAATTAATTTAAAACAAATGCACATACCCATAGGACAGTGCCATCTCCACCAAGAGTTATCACAAGGTCAACTTTAGTATGCAGCATTAAAATTTCCTTATCTACAAGCAAAAATATGATGCTCATAAGTAATTGAAATTTCAGAATAACAGAAGTACACGACTACTATAATCATATAGTTAACTATGAAGATAATACAAGATATTGCATTATGCATACAAAGAAATTCATTATCTTAAAACAGACAAGGAGGCCGTGATACAATATATTGGCCCGTCAGTAGTAATCAGCTAAATTCTAGTAATCTTACTCTGTCCTGCAAAAAACCCTGCGCTAAATTCTAAACATAGAACTAATATGATACCTACTCCAAGCCCAGAAAAAAAAACTGCCAAAACTGTAGTAATATGGAAATATTTTATATATCTTGTAAAGAATACATAAGAGGTATTTATAGACTATACATCTATCTAAATAAGGGTGTAATTATTCTCCTATAAATGCTAATTATTCATAATAAGTTGTATAGGATAGCAGCTCATAATGAGCTGTATGATATTCAACATATTCTAATAATAATAATACTAATATTACAACACTCCCCCTCAAGCTGAGGAATGGATATCTATCATCCCCAGCTTGCAAGTAAGATCTCGAAACCGCTCTAAGGGGAGTCCTTTGGTGAGCACATCAGCTAACTGGAGTCCTGATGGGACGTACTGTGTAGAAATAAGACCACTGTCCAATTTCTCTTTGATGAAGTGTCGGTCTATCTCTATATGCTTTGTTCTGTCGCGTTGGACCGGATTGTGAGCAATACTAATAGCAGACTTATTATCACAGAAAAGTCTCATAGGAGCTTCATATTTTATTTTCAAGTCATCTAGAATAATCTTCATCCACAACAATTCACAAACTCCTTGAGCCATGGCTCTAAACTCTGCCTCTGCACTTGATCTGGCAACTACATTTTGTTTCTTGCTCCTCCATGTCACTAAGTTTCCACCTAAGAACATACAATATCCAGTGGTGGATCTCCTGTCAACAATCGACCCTGCATAATCTGCATCAGTATAGACCTCCATAGACAACTGCTCACTTTTCTTGAACAATAGACCTCTTCCTGGGCTCATCTTTAAATACTGCAGGATTCTATCCACAGCCTGTAAGTGCCTCTCCTCTGGATCATGCATGAATTGACTGACAACACTAACCGGATAAGCTATGTCAGGCCTGGTGTGAGATAGATAAATGAGCTTTCCCACAAGTCTCTGGTATTGAGCTTTATCAACCCTTGGACTTTCCTCATCACTCCCAATCCTGTGGTTTTGCTCTATAGGCACTCTGCTGGGTTTACAACCCAACTTGCCAGTCTCTTTGAGAAGGTCAAGGACATATTTTCTCTGAGAAATGAAAATGCCTTGTTTTGAGTATGCTACTTCCATACCTAGGAAATATTTCAACTTTCCAAGGTCCTTCATTTCAAACTGAGCTGCCAACTTCTTCCTCAAGTTCATCTTCTCAAATTCATCATTACCTGCTATGATCATATCATCTACGTAGACTAACAAAAGAGTGAGTTTACCATTTTGAGAATGCTTTATAAAGAGAGTATGATCACCTTGGCTTTGTTTATAACCCAAGGACACCATAACATGAGTGAGCCTTCCAAACCAAGCTCGAGGTGATTGCTTGAGCCCATATATGGCCTTCTTTAATCTGCAAATCTTATTACTTCCTAAAGTAGGGTCATATCCAGGTGGGATCTCCATATACACCTCTTCCTTCAAATCTCCATGCAAGAAAGCATTTTTCACATCAAACTGTTGCAACTCCCAATCAAAGTGAGCTGCCAAGGAAAGAATGATTCTTACAGTGTTCATTTTTGCTACTGGAGCAAATGTCTCTTCATAATCAATTCCATAGGTCTGGGTGTATCCCTTTGCTACTAGCCTCGCCTTATATCTGTCCAGTGTGCCGTCGGATCGGTATTTTACCGTATATATCCATCTGCAACCTACTGGCCTCTTGTCATTTGTCTTCTCAATAATCTCCCAAGTCCCATTTTTCTCTAGTGCCTGCATCTCTTCATTCATGGCTTGAATCCAGTTCTTATCCTTTAATGCTTCTTGTACTGATGTAGGGACTCTAATAGAGTCAATAGCTGAAATAAAACTCTGATGCTGCACAGAAAGTTTTTCAGTAGACACAAACTGGGATATAGGGTATTTAGTACAAGACCTTTTTTCTTTTCTCAAAGCAATAGGTAGGTCATCAAGGTTCAGCTCACAAGAATTATTAGGCTCAGGGTTAGGAACACTTACCTCAGGTTCAGACGATTGGACTTGTTGGGGCAGAACGGGTTTACCTTTCCACCTTTTTCGCTGGAACTGTAACTTGTATCTGTCAACGTTATTATGCACCGGTATTGGTACATCACCACCATCCTCATCATTATTATGCACCGGTATTGATACATCACCACCATCCTCATTAGGCATCAAAGGCTCTTGTATTACAGGAATAACAGGAAGAACAGACAATTCAGGAGACGACTCTGGGTCCTGTATTAGAGGAATAACAGGAAGAATAGACAACTCTGAAGACTCAGCTTCTTGATTATTCTCCCCCTGAAGCTGAGGATTGGGATAAAAAGACTCTGATTCCTGAAAAGTAACATCCATGGATATATAGACACGACGACTAGGAGGATGATAACACTTGTACCCCTTCTTATCTGAAGCATATCCTATGAAAATACATTTAATAGCTCGAGGATCTAACTTACCTCGATGAGGGCCATGAACATGGACAAAGGCAGAACAACCAAAGACACGATTCTGAAGACTTGACAAGATGGGCACAGACGGAAAGAATTGAGTCAGGACCTGCACGGGACTAACACCAGATAACACCCTAGAAGGTAACCTATTGATTAAATAAGCAGAGGTCAAGACAGCTTCCCCCCAATAAAATTTAGGAACATTCATTTGAAAGCGTAATGCTCGGGTGATTTCAAGAAGATGACGATTTTTTCTTTCAGCAACCCCATTTTGTTGTGGAGTGTTAACACAAGTCAACTCATGAACAACACCATTAGTTTTGAGAAAATTGTAAAAATTTTGGTTTACATACTCCTTACCATTGTCTGACCGTAACCGTTTAATAGGTTTTCCAAACTGTGTTTTGACCATTTGAAAAAAGTTAACAAACAATTGACACACTTCAGACTTATCTTTCATAAGAAAAACCCATGTAACCCGAGTACAATCATCAATAAAGGTAACATACCATTTTGCCCCAGAAATATTGGAAATGGATGAAGGCCCCCATACATCAGAATGAACAAGATCAAAGGGTTCGACACTCTTAGTATTACTAGGGGAATAGGTTGCTCGATGAGATTTGGCAAACTGACACACATCACAATGAAAGGAATCAACAGACACTTTGGTAAATAAGTGAGGGAATAGAGACCTGAGCATCTGGAAAGGAGGATGTCCAAGACGCCTGTGTTGGAGCCATATTTGAGTATTTGCCCATGACTCTGAACCAGCCTGATGACACTTACTTTCCTTATGACGCAGACAATATAACCCGTTCTGTTCCTCAGCAATTCCAATCGTCTTACCTGTGGCAAGATCCTGAAAAACACAATGAGAATGAAAAAAGGTTACTACACAGTTCAAGTCTTTAGTGAGTTTATGGATGGACAAAAGATTGTTAGAAAGCTTAGGGACATGAAGCACATCATTTAGATGGAGAGATGGGCTTAGGTGGATGTTACCAGATCCGACAATCGGGGTTTGAGACCCATTTGCAACGGTAATATGGTTTTTATTAGGTAAAGGTGAATAAGAAGAGAGATATGACATATATGGAGTCATGTGATCAGTTGCACCAGAGTCAATAATCCAGATATCTTTAGAACAAGAGGCATTAAAAGCTAAGGAGCTAGAATTCTTACCCATCATGGTCAGAGAACTAGTGTTAGAGAACTTACTCAAGGAGTCCATAGAGAGAAACAAACCGTCTCGAACCAGGAGAGGATCGAGATCTACTGTTAGGAGAGGATCGAAGGGCTGCCAATTAGAAACACCAACAACGATGACAACCGAACAATCAAGGGCTGCAAACAGCAAGTAAATAGAGGTACGGCAATGAAGGCTGTCCTAAAAAAAAGATGAAGGTGAAAACGTCCGGATCTGCAACGGCGGTTGAGCGGTGCACGATGGCTGCAAAGTCACCGAGATCACTAGGGTTCCAAGAGAAAGGGAACCTTGAAAAGAAAAGGACCGTAATACGAACGGCTAGTGTTTTGAGCGCGGAAGCAGAGCCCCTAGAATCGGGAGCTCTGATACCATGTAGTAATATGGAAATATTTTATATATCTTGTAAAGAATACATAAGAGGTATTTATAGACTATACATCTATCTAAATAAGGGTGTAATTATTCTCCTATAAATGCTAATTATTCATAATAAGTTGTATAGGATAGCAGCTCATAATGAGCTGTATGATATTCAACATATTCTAATAATAATAATACTAATATTACAACAAAAACTATGGTGAGACTAAAGATGCATCATTATCAAGAATTTAATATCTAGATTTGGATGCTGGCTTACCAAAATATCCTGTCATGAATTTGAAATATATAGAAGGTATAGTGGCATTCTAGGATCCATTAGGCTCATAATAAGTAATAACCTTTTGGAAAATGCTTTCTATAAATTTCACTGTTCTTGTAATATGACTTACCATCACTCCATGTTTCTATAAAGTTAAAGTATGATGACTCCGTCAAGAGATCCACCTTGACACGTGGTTCCACATATATTTGTAGTTTCTTATGCTGCCTCAACCATCTGGAAATGATAAAAAAGTAAGCGATATTATTTAACTAAGGGTTGCCATACATCGAAAATGTAAAATCAAAAAGTAGAATTTCATGTTGTATAACATGTTATAGATTTATACCAGAGACAAATACATGGAAGGATACAAAGGTTGAAGATAGATGTAAATATTAAATAATAAGAAGTTTAATAAAACATAACTTGAAATGAAACAATCTTCAGACCTAGTGAATTACAAGTGCATAGTGCTCTTGGCTTTTAAATTAAGCAGAGACATCTAAGCTTTTCTAACAACAATGAAAGAGAGCTATCTTATTTTAACTTCCATCTGCTGCAGCTCTCTTTCATTGTTGTTAGAAAAGCTTAGATGTCTCTGCTTAATTTAAATACCATTACACAACAACATATTCCATTATTTTGTGAAGAGTCTGAGGCTCAAGTCAGCGTCATATAATATAAGTAAAGGAAGAAAACTTAATTTTGGAAGATAGGAAAGTGATAATAAAAAATCTATTGAGATACACACCTAACCATCTCAGCACACAGAATTTGAACAGAAATTGAATTTGGTTTGGTCAATATGAGCACTGTCTGTGGACTTGACTCCCATTTCAAAGAGATCTGGAATAAAGATGACAGATCAATTGTCACACATTTACACATATATGTATACCAGAAGGAATAATGCTAGCATGGGGACAAACTTTAAGGAGAAATGCATGTTTATGAATTGCAAATAATTTTTGAAGCAATAAAGTAAAATCCTCCTCAACAATAAAAGAGATACCTGTTTACTACTGCGCTCTGCTGTGGTTATATTTCCTCTTTCAAAAGAGACAACGTCATGTTTGTGCTGATCACTTTTCTCACCTTTGCAGCACCATTGAAGTTTAAAAGAAGCCTGTCTCAAAAAATAAATCAGTTACAGACTGCAGTAACACAGAAATGGTAATTTTAACATTATCAATGAAACACAACAAATATAGCTAATTACCATGAGGGTATCGATTAATTTTTGGTAGGACAAATTCCTCAAAACACGGCAGTACTTGCACAATGTCATCGTAAAGAGATAAACAAAATTCAATAGTAATTATTATAGTATTGTACCAGTAATAACATGTAAAAAATTAACTTATGGCTCTCGTTATTATAGTATTATACCAGTAATAACATGTAAAAAATTAACTTATGGCTCTCGTTTGTGTTTAATGCCACAAGGCTCAACAGCTTGTGCTGCTCTGAAGAGTGATCTATTAAGTATTACGAATGTTCGAAGGCGAGAAACGTTAACAAAATGGTTACGCGTGTGTAGATACACACATGTACATCAATAGGGAATCCTGCTGCAACAGAATGATCATAATAACTTATTTTGCTTCAACCAAGAATTTATAACATACCTTTTTGACCATCTTGGAATCAGAATCAGGTTTCCCATCCCTAAGCACCTCATGGGAACAAATACCATTACTAGAACAACATTCTTCAGACAGCCCATTAGCTGCATTATTATATAATGTGGGTTGTTTGGCGATGTTATTTGTTTTCAAATCATCAAGATCAGCACAAGGTTCGAGGGATGATTTCCCTGTAGTCAAAATAAGCAGGGAACATATATTATAAACTTGAAAAGTTGACATTGACAACAACGAAGCTTTTATCACACTAAGTGGGGTCGGCTACTTGGGTCAAACAACGTCAGAATGTTCTATTAAAAACCATGTTTTTATCCAACTCGTTAATCTCGATTGTCGAGATCTTTCTTAATAGTTGCTCATATCGTTTTTTAGGTCTTCCTCTACCTCTAGCGGTTTGACTACCCTCTATGTGATCTACTCTCCTTACTACATAAGATAAAATAGCAATTTAGATGGAAAACATGTTTTCAGGAAGAATATGATAGAAACTTATATCTAAATGCTCAAATTTTAGGAAATATGTATTATAAAAGACAAGATCGTGACATGTACGTTTGAAATACTTAAAAAATTCAAGGGAAAAGGAAAGAAGATCAGAAAAAAGTGATAAATGAAACACTCCTTACTCAGAAGGAATGAAAGACTTCAATGATTCAGATATTTATAAAAATAATAATAAACGAAGCCATAAAATCACTTCGAGAGAATAGACCGCGCAAAAAAATAAGAACTTGAATTCCAACCGCTAATTGACAAAAGTTGCATTGCATTAAACAGATATTATAGAAAACAATAAAATACCTACAAGCAATTTTGGATTAAAACAGAATAAAAAACTTATAAATCAAAAGTGTCTGAAATTGTAAATTATTGAAATGAACAGAAGCAATCAAAATAAATAAATTGTTTGACAATCTACAAGTTAACAGAGAGCAGAATTGCAGTTGAGTAAAAATCAGATTATAAAAAAACTCCGTTTCTTCCGCAATATCTACGTTACTGAATACAAAAGTACAAAAATACATAGCAATCATGAAGTAGTAATAGTTAAATGATTAGAACCTCTATCTTCAAACTGCAGATTCCGATTCCTCTCCAACTCATATTTCCGTTTCCATTCAGCAGCCTCCGCTTGAGCAGAAGCTTTCCCTTCCGCAACTTTCCTAAGAGCCTTCGCAACGGCTAGAAGAAGTAGAGTTTCAAGACAAAATAAGGAGAAAGATCTCTGTTATCAAAGATCACATATTTTCTCGCAGTTGATACTAACAATAATTTCAACAAAATATGATCATTATTTCATACTTCTTAAAGATTCTGAGAACTCTATAAGATGATCATCAGACCCTTGGATCGGCGATTCAAGAAGCTCTTGCACTGCTTTCTCAGGAAATAGAGAAAAAGAACTTATGAAACCATTGTCAGCCTGCGAACACGCCGACACACTCGAATTTCCCTGTTACATGATGTAAATCAGAAAAACAAAACTAACTAACATATTGTGAAATCAGCATCCAATAGAAACAGTAAATCAATATGCAAGACTGATCCTATTAGCAGTTAGTTAGGGAATAAAAGTAAACATTGACTAACTAAAACAAAGTCAAATTAGAGCATCCTAATTTTCTTTTCCATTGAATTTTGCTATGTAGTAACAGAAGATGAGTCAAGGGAAACCCTAGCAAGAAAGAGTATTGATAGAAATGAAATTGAAACAGAGTAAAGCAAAGAGAAAGAGTTTGGAATTGATGAAGATAGAGAGAAGAATAGGAATGGAATTACCGAGGAATTGGAATTGAGCTTGTGAGGTGCCATGGAAGAGGAGGAGAATGGGAATGATGGATCCCTTTCAACTAGTCTTATACCTACCAAACCAATTCTTTGGAGGTTTTTGACCTTGCAATATTTCTGTGTTTTTTATAGGATTCTCACAACACGTTGCTTTCAAACTTATTGTAATGCACTCTAATGTGCAAATACGGAATGGAACAAGCCACATATCATAAGATATACATAGGGTAAGCTTCCAGGTCCCGTTAGTAGTTTTGCGGGGACAATAAGTAGAACTGTAACATTTTATTTATCACGTCGCCGCAGATACAAGAGAATAAATTCAAACTCTTAATATCTCATTTATTTATTTTTAAGTGAAACGTCAGGCAGATCTAAGAAAATAATTTAAACTCGTTACATTTTACTTATTTATTTTTAAGATGAATAAGTGAGACGAGAATGTGATTTTTATTTTACTAGTCAAATTGTTTTTTAGTTTTTTTAGTTAGTTGACTTATCTCATACACTCTTTATATAAAGATAGGTTTGATTTGTTGAAAATAATATTTTTTCTAATTTTTTTAAATTCATTAATAATATCTTTGAAAATTAATAATAAATTATTAGAAACTTAAATGAGTAGTATGATGATGAGATATAATTAGAAAAATGTTATTTCTACATCCTTTTTACACCTAATACTTACACCGTATGTACTATTTACCGTATTTATACGGTGAACAATGTTTTTTTTATTAAAATATTATTTTTTAAAAAAAAATATTTATTTTTAAAATTTATTTTATAACACAAATATAAGATTGCGCATTAACCAACTTCACAGTTGCATTAACCACAAAAATCTACATTATTAGCCAATTATTTTACCTATAATTTATTAACCACTTTCACTACTTCATTAATCAATAAAATACACACTATTAACCATATTTTGGAAAATTTATTCAAGTATTTGTGAACAGTAATTAAGGTATATGGTGTAGAAATGGGTGTCAATATAACAATCCTGATATAATTATTTTGTTTTGTTTAATATTTAAATTTGGATAAAGCAATGTGGAATAAGACAAAATAGTCTACGCATCATCACTAAGCAACCACTTTTTAAGTTTGAATACAATAGAAGTTTTTCAAATATAAAATTCCGTGCCTCATATCGCTACTTTCTTTCGTTATGTGGTATTCAATTATATATATATATATATATATATATATATATATATATATATATATATATATATATATATATATATATATATATATATATATATATATATATATATATATATATATATATATATATATATATATATATATATATATATATATATATATATATATATATATATATATATATATATATATATATATATATATATATATATATATATATATATATATATATATATATATATATATATATATATATATATATATATATATATATATATAGATTGTATATATACTCTCTCTAATACTATTTATAAAACAAAAATGATTTCTTAAATTCATTGAATAATAATTATTCAATAAACTTAAAAAATAATATTTTTTAAAACATTTTTAATATAAAAAATAATAGAGTAGTAATCAAAATAGCCAAATAAATTTAAAGACGATGCGATGAATGCATTTATTAAATGTCAATTTCATCAATTAAATGTTGACTAATAATTAATAAACAAATACTAGCAATAATTCCAATACAATGAATATATTACAAACGATTTTCTTTTTTTTAGTTTTATGATTATAATTTCATTGTTAAAAATATATATATAAACTATATTTTAAATAAGTAGATATACAAGTGGCAAAACAGGTTGTAGCCGTCGGACCGGTCTGCGCATCTGCCATTTGGTGGGTTAAGTTGGAATTTTAGATCCATCGCTCACATTTATGCTCCGCTAAAGACTGCCACCTTAAATCCATCCATTCTTTTTTAGTCAACTCTAGTAATTTCAATTATTGATGGTTTTATTTTATATATTTATTTGAGAATATGTACAATATTTTTTGAAGTAAAATTTGTTAAAAAGATACTTTATAAAAATTATTCTAAAAAATAAGTGAAAAATTTAATCCAAATGTAAAAACAAATATATTAATCTATTAAAAAATAAAGAAAAATAAATAAAAAAGTAGGCGGGCATGTCCGCCGTCCGCCAACCCACCTTGGCGGAGCGAGCTAGATTTTTATGCCCATTTTCACTTGGCGGGCTTGCCTGCCCCGCCTTTTTTTGGCGGGATTAAGGTGGAGTGGGGCAGGGCGGGCGGCCCGTTTTGCCACCCCTAAGTAGATAGTGTTAAATTGTTAGGTTTTCTTCTATTTGGAGTGGTTCAAATGAATGTGGGTTAGTAGTTCATGTGTGTAAGTCTTTGTTACTGTCCAACAAAGAGAATTAGATCAACAATTCATAAGGTGAGAAACAACAAAGAAAAAATGAGAGAAGAGTGAAATTCCTGCATCCCCAATTCAACACAAATCAGACCCACGAGATCGGAGTTTTCTCACAATCCAACTGTCAGATCGTCTTGATTTTTGGTGACAGTGTTCAGTACTCGTAGAGGTGTATTTTAAATGGTGGAGATCAGATTTTGAGTTGTCTATACTTGTATGCCGAGTGATTTTCTGAGGTGTAGTTTTTGTTGGTTGTTTTGGTTGATTGTATCTCTTTTCCTTGTTATATTTTGAGATTGATCGTAAGTCTTGAGTATGTTGACGTATGCCTTAACTAGTGTTAGAGAAAACCTTGATTGTACGCATTGTTTGATTATAGTGGAGATTTAAGTGGCCTACAGATCCCTTGGTTTTTTACTCCTAATTAACAGAGGTTTTTCCACGCTAAAATTATGTTGTATTGTTTGGTGTGTTTTGTTGATTGTCTTTGCATTTGATATTTGGGAGAGATTGTCTTGTTGAATTATTCTGTTGTATTATGGATTTCCTCCCCACAAGTGGTATCTATAGTTATGGTTTGATTTGTATAATGATGGAGGCAAACACATATAGGATGGTGAGTTTGAATGGATCCAACTATAATGTTTGAAAAGAGAATATGGAAGATTTATTTTATGTTAAAGGTTTTCACTTGCTGGTTTTCTCTAGTGAGAAACCCGAAGGAAAAACTGATGAAGAATGAGCTTTGTTGCATAGACAAGTTTGTGGTTACATTCGTCAATGGGTTCAACTATAATGTTTGAAAAGGGAAGATGGAAGATTTGTTTTATGTTAAAGGCTTTCACTTGTTGGTTTTCTCTAGTGAGAAACCCGAAGGAAAAAGTGATGAAGAATGAACTTTGTTGCATAAACAAGTTTGTGGTTACATTCGTCAATGGGTGAATGATAATGTTTTGAATCATGTGAGCTTCGTGACTGATACTCGCTCTCTTTGGACCAAACTTGAGGAGTTGTATGCAAGAAAAAAGGGAAACAATAAGTTGTTCTTGTTCAAGCAATTGATGCCATTGAGGTATAGTGATGGTTCACGAATGACCAATCACTTGAACACTTTCCAAGGGATTTCTAAATCAATTGTCGGCTATGAATCTTACTTTTGATGATGAAATTCAAGGTTTGTGGCTTCTTGGTATTTTGCCTAGTTATTGGGAGACTTTTAGGACATCATTGTCCAACTCCGCTTTGAATGCTATCATCTCGATAGACTTGTCTAAAAGTAGTATGTTGAATAAGGAGTTTAGATGTAAGTCATAAGGTTCTTCTTCACAATCTAAGGTGTTGGTTACCGAATCGAGGGGGAGACATCAAAATAAAGGTTCAAGTGATCGTGGGACATCACGTGGTAAATCACAAGGAGACTCTAATAGTTTCTCTAATATCAAGTGTCATCATTATGGGGAAAAAAGGACACATAAAAAGGTATTGTCGGAAGTTGAAAACAGAAAACAAGAAGAAGAGTTACAACAACAAAAAGGAAGGTAACAATAATGAAAATGTTTCTATTGTTGATGACTTCTTTGTTGTTTGTGATAGTTGTATAGAGAATGGAAATCTATAATGTGATAAGATGGATTGGGTGGTTGATAATGGTACTTCTAGTCATGCAACCTCGAGATATGATCTTTTTTCAACTTACAAGACCGATGACTTTGGGGTTGTTCGTATGGGAAATAATGGGCAAGCTAATGTCATCGAAATATAAGATATTTGTGTCGAAACTAGAAATGGGACTACTATAGTTCTCAAAGGAGTGAAACACATTTTGGAACTTCTATTTAATCCTTTATTCATTGGAAATTTGGATAATGAAAGATATGGTAATTCTTTTTCAGCTATGAATGGAAGTTAAAGGAAAGGCTCAATGGTGGTTGCAAAAGAAAAAAGGAATTCAAACTTGTATATCATCCAACTTGAGGTTTAAAGGTGCTACATCAACACTTGTGACAATGATAACTTATCTAAATCATGGCACAAGTGTTTAGTTTACGTGAGCGCAAAAGGTTTGAGAATTTTAGCAAAGAAGAATGTGTTGTATGGTGTTTTTGATGCAAATTTGAGAAATTTTTTGCATTGTTTGGCAAGTAAGCAAGGGAGAGCTTCCTTCATGTCATCCAAACCAAAGAGGAAATCAGAAGTGTTGGATTTAGTAAATTCTGATGTGTGTGGTCCGATGAACACACAGTCACTGGGTGGTGCATATTACTTTGTGACTTTGATTGACAATTATTCTTAGAAAACATGGGCTTATACCTTGAAAGTGAAAGATCAAGTGTTAGATACCTTTAAGTCGTTCCAAGCATGGGTTAAAATAGAAATGGGGAAAAAACTCAAGTGTATCTGGATCGATAATGAGGGAAAGTGTGTTAGATCTTTAGATAAGTATTGTCAAGATCAAGGTATATGTCGTCAAAAGTCTCCTCCAAATACACAATAATTGAATGGATTAGTCGAAAGAATGAATAGAACTTTGGTGGAAAGGGTGAGATGTTTACTTTCTCAATCAAAGTTGTCAAAATACTTTTAGGGATAAGAATTAAGCATGGTTGTACATCTTTTAAAC